CCATTTAACGACCACTCTTTATAACGCCGAAAAATGTTCAGTCTCTTAAGTGTCGTTATATAAAGTTTACACTGTATATCATTTAACAGCTAATTTTTCAGTTATTTGTTATTAATAAACAGAGATTTAGCGTACAACAGCAATCGGTAGAATTTCAACTTTGACAAATTCAGAACACACCATGAGTTCTTATGAATTTTTAAGCAGTTACAAATTATTCTTAAATAATGTTTCTTTTTTGACTACGTTTATTGTGATTTTGTTGGACCTATTTGTCCCTCACCGATGAAGCTACCGATTTCAACCTGACACGATCTAGAATTTAGAACCACTGGATGCAGCGAATAACAAAAACAATGAGGCAAAAATTCCAAAACTATCTATAATGCATATATATAGATATTTCTTGCAATACTCAAAATCTCACAAATTAGTGCAACTTTATTTTTATAAAGATATTACATTCACTTAATGATTTACATTCTCTTAAGATTCATTAGATAAAAAAAATATCTGAAATAAAATAATACAACCATCTTTACATTTTTTAGACATTGATTATTAATTTACTATTAAAATGCACAATATTCACATTGTATTCGCAAAAAACTCCTAAGAGATCATTTTAACAGAATACTATTACAAATCTTACAAGTCAAATCTTTTATTGTTGAAATTAATTACGCGATAATTTTAATACAATTTTTGATACAAAAAATAACGTTTTACTGCGGCGCATACAATTACAAATACGCCAATAATTTATAAAAAACAAAAACCAGGTGCAAATGACGAAATAAAAATTTTATTTAGGACAAAAAACTACATTTTAAAAAAATGATTAATAGGCAATGTAAATTGAATACTAAAGAGGTAGTGAAATTAATTTAAAAATATAAGGTAAGTAACATTTTCTCATTAGCTTAATTCAATTTTTTTAAGATTGTATTTATAAATATAGCCATAAAATAACTATTTTGTTATTTGTTTTTGTTGCGACTTTGATTTAATTCATAATACGTTTCAAAAGATAGTAGGTACAAAAAACATTAAAGCCTCTCGTAAAATAATGTAATAATTTGAGGTGATTGTGGTTGAAAACTAAAATAATTGCTTTTAAGTACAATATAAGCTAATTGCAAAATAATAATTTCATAAAATGATGAAATATGCTCTTCAAAAATGAATAAGGCAATCAATGATGATAATAAGAGACCATGGAATACATTAAAAAACAAAATAATAAGTGTATTAAAGCAGTCTTATCAGATTAGTAATTAGGTTTTATTTAAAATAGTAAACGCAAAAGTAACAACAAAAATATTATTGCTTTGTATAAGTTTTGATGAAAAGCTGGTGTGATATTGAAAAAAGAAGAAGAAACCGACTATTCTAAAAATAATTTTACCTTACTTGAGATTATTAAATATATAATCACTTCAATGTTTGAATTATAACTTTCAAATTATAGTGAAAAAATTTAATAAAATGATTATCGAAATGGACACATACATAACTAAACTTTTGTAATGCCTGCCACATTACTTTCGATATTTTACACGTTTCTTAACTGATACGAAAAAGACAAAACTAAAGTAAATAAAAGTGTGAGAACGAGAGAGAGCAAAATAAAGTAAAAGTTCTTAAAAATGACATTCCACACATGATCCACAAAAAAAAAAATGAATAAGTAAGAGATAGTTTTTACTTTCCTTTTGCACTGGTGGTTATGATGGCACAACCAGCTGTGAAAACGGACCATAAAAGTAACGTAGCCTCGAAATGAGAAGCAACGTATCGAACGCCATCTAATATTTGTTTCCAAATTGGATTAACAGTCTCTTTATCAACGATTGGTAATAAGTTGCGGGCTTTCAAGTAATCTATCAACTCAGGAGATTCCTTGGTGGATGGCGAAAAATATTCTCCCACTTTCACACGAGACCACCACATAGGCTGCCATCTGTGATGATTTTTAAACAAATATTAAACAGATAATAATTTAATAAGAAATTTGAAATAAACTCAATTTTCTCTATCGCTTCAAAACGAAGTCCACAATATTTTACAATAATGTGTAGAAAGCAAATATAGTTCACACATGACGTCATTATCAGGGGACGCCAGCTACTGTTTATTAAACCGAGGTGCATACACATTCAAAAAGTGAAAATCAACTCTTACCTTGTACTATTAATTTATAATGTGTTACTTTGTTATTAAAAGTACTGTTTTAAAAATATATATTCATTAATGTAAAGCTATCGAATGACTAATATCGTGAGGTAGGTTCACTAAATGTGTTTACTGAAGAATGTACATACATACTTTCATAGTAAAAACAGTATTTTTATCCATCACAATATTACGAAAAAAAAAATTCATTAGGAATAACATACTTTCCTAAGTAATCTAATAACACGTATTAAAATTAGATAAAGAAAAATAAAAAAAATATTAAAAAAGTTGTAATTCATAATGGCTAAAAGCTTACCTTTGGCTCCAAGAAGTGTATTTATATTTGTACAATGTTGCTCGGATATACTTAGGAGGCTTGTCTTGAAAAGGTGAATGATTTTTGTCGAGCAGTGCTAAGACTTCTGGTCGTCCTAAAAGAAGCCGATGAACAAAAGACACAAACCAGGGATGCGATTGGTAGTTCTCTTGTGCAGCCCACCACATTTGCCAGTCGATACGCGGCGCATAAGGAGCTGAAAGAAAATAGTTCTATAAATCTTAAATGAATAAGGAACAAGGTGAATATGTTTATTATTATTTATTTATTACTATTTCAAACAGGTACTCAAAACAATGTTGCAAAATAACGTGTTGATAAAACTGGCCAGATCAATTTGTTCATCTCAAGAAGCGTAGGATATGTCGAGAATAAACTCAATTTTATCGTATACTAGTATATTTGAATATTATTTAAAATAGAAATTGCAAAAAAGAAAATACTCCTACTCCGTCCCATTCATAGTAGGGACCTCGGAACTCGAGATTCATGCGCATACTACTCTGGTGCTACGTAATATGGAGCAGGTTTTTCTAAATAGCATGTGTGATATGTTATGCATCATCGATAAAATTGTCCAAATTTGGAGGGTTATGTCTAGTATACAATATAGTGCTATACGCTAATGATATGATATTTTGGAATTAGCTGACTATTAAAGCGCCTAATTAAATTTACAAAGTAAATTAATAAACGCGCATAATAAATGATCAGAAAATAGTCCTTAATGAAAACTTTCATATTTGACACTACAGAGTCTGTTAATTTCAAAATAAACAATATTAAAAAAAATGTTTATTGTATCACTTATTTTTATGGATTTATAAGTAATTAGAATACGTTAAAATGGTGATATTTTAAACTATGAAAATTCATATCATCTAAAAGATTAAATATAACAAGAAAATAGTGACACACCCTGTCATGTTTCTTGCTAAAAAAAATAACGGAGCAAAACTGTTTAAGTTTGATCTCAATGAATTTTTGACAACGAAATACAGATAAAGTGTTCTTCTCCATTAAACAAAAAGTTTTAATTCTAGTTGTATGATACAATTATTGAAATGCAGTATCGATTAATGTAAAAATAAACTGCTTACCTACAAACGGCAACGAATGATTCACATTTCCTGGTTTATAAAGAAAACTGTATTCCTGCCAGGGTCCTTCGATATTGTTAGATCCTTCGAGAATAATTTCAGGCCGTCCATCAATTCCGGTCATTTTAGGAAAAAGGCCGTACTTATTGACGATGTGAAGCTTCGAAATACGATTTTGGAAGTTACGAAGCGACTGAGGTACCGTAGAATTCGTTGCTTTATGTAGCGAAACGACTTGCACCTTCATAACAAAAGGGTAATGTATTATTTTTTTCAAACTATAGACAATTTTAGCAGTTTTGCCAAAATTACAAAGGGAACCGAAAATTAAGAAGAATAATATTTTATTTACATTTTTATGTTAATTTCATCACACATTCCCAATTTTTATTTAAGTATGTTAAAATATTTAAAACAAATCAAAATTTTATTTAAATTAGTGTAATCGATGAAGAGCCTAATATAAATTATTGATACTTTCCATTTCTCCCTGATTTTTTATAATACTTTTTAAAGGGATTTATTAAGTAAAAATAGGTTTTCACCTGAAAAGTATAACTATGTAATTATTTTCGATTCTTTTTAAGGAAATTTAGAAAAATTACAAGTAACATTACAACAACACTACATTGGTAGCGGTTAGGGAGAGGGAAGGATCCAGTAATAATACGTAGCTTATTATGAACGAATTAATCCAACAACAGGTGCATAACTCAATAAAAGGAAACTTACGGTGCTCGATATAAATATTATTGTTGCTAGTACAGCATAGAAAACGGTGGTAATAAGCGAGATGACTTTCGAGGTGGTTGCAGGTGAGTCGGATACAGCAACAGCTATTGCTCGGGCAATAGTTAGACCAAGAGAAGCAAGACCAAAATACACTGCTACTAGAAGACCCTGCTTCACAGCATTATCGAACTGATCCATACTAAACGCTACAAAAAACAAAACTGTTAACTTTCCATGAAAAGCCTACCTGGCCTGTTAGTTTTGTAAGATAATTTGGCAACTGATGAACAGTGTTAAAAGAATATACATACATTTCCTCATAAGACCCTAGTAAATAATATTTTAATATACAAACTGTCATCAATGTCGTTTTATTTTAGAATAAAACAATTAAAACATGATCTAATTGATTACAGTCCCCGTTATCGTCCCTTTATGCATACAAAAGAGAATTTCAAAAAGTTATGGTCTAAAAGATATTGAAGTCCACAAAGACTGAGGATAATTCCTTATTAAAAATTATTAAATACTTAACAATAATAATATAATTTCTATTTCCTTGAAAGCATATTTTGATTTTTACAATAATAATTATAATCTTACCTATTTTTGAGTCGATTTGGGAACCATTAATTTTCAAATCGTATAAGATAACAATATAATATAGGATAACTGCATAAATAGCTACATTTACAACTTTTCCCAAAACTGAGTAGGTTTTTTTCTCTTCAAATCGTCTCTTCCCAAAGAACGTCCTGTCGTCCAGTAAAGACAGCAAGAGTGTCGTTACAAGAATATTTACAAAGTTGAAATTGCCAGTGAGAACAATGCAAATCTGAAGGAATATCTGAAATAAAAAAAATTATGCAAATAAACCGATTGTAATAATTTCTTTGATATACTACTTACTTGGAATGCGTATGTTGTGATACGAACACTTCTGATAGGAACAAACAATAAAAATGGTAGTACAAGTTCACAAACATTTGCATACACTGCTGTTAAACGTAAAATCCAAACAGGTAAATGATGACAGTACCATGATAGAGGAGAAGGAATTACCATGGATTCAAAATGGTAACTGAACGCTATAGAAATCAAAACAGTGATTAGAATATCTTGAAATTAAAAATGATACACTTAAGGGTTAACATTAACCGATCGTGTAAAACGTTAAGAATAAGCTCTTCTTCCGCAAGACAGTAGCAAAGTATTACCTAACTATTGGCTATCATAATGCACTGTACTAATGTACAGGTGGCGTATTTTACTTTCCGCGGCGTTACAAAATTAGCCAAATAATTTGTTTTGTCTTACAATAGGCTATTAGTTTGTTTGACTGCTTTGGTTGAATAAAAAATAAGTGAGGATATTTCTGAAAAAGGTAAAATTACTACTCTATCTACTGGCTCCGTCTAGTACGAAACAGCAGAGCCATCCAGTAAGAAAACAATTAACTATTGGCAACATTGGTAAGAACCAGTGAAGATAGGGGATACATCAGTAGCAAAAACAGAAGGCAAAAAATTGATAAAATGGAAAACCAAAAGCAATGATTTTACTCAAAGCATTCCTGTACTTTTTTGTGTGGACAGTAGTATGATGAAATCACTCAAGAGTCATGACCATGTATATATACAATACTTGCACAAAATTCAAGAAGTTGAATAACTTTTATGCACATAGATTTACAAGTTTTAAATAAATGATGATTTTGATGTTTCTTGAAAATAACTTACCACTCAAATCCCTCCATCTTGGACATCCACTAAGAAATTTGACAAGGCCAGAGGAAAGTAAAAATCTAAACAATAACCAACGGACTAGCCACAAGCAGATATTATCACTGGGGGATCCTTTTGATCCTCGACGCTTACCTAGCAATAAAGGTGCGACCAAAATGCTTAAAAATCCCGCTTCCAAAAGCAAATTGTCCCTAAAAATTTCATCTTAGTTTCATAATTTTTAATAAACTTGAAATTTTAAAAGAAAAGTACCATTTAGTGCTGCAAAGCAACTTTTCTATAATGAAAAACTGCAGTTGCTAGCGGAGGATATGTCTATTTGTTATAAAAGTAAAGTATGCAGGATCAGTTGATAATTTTTATTCTATTTTAATCAAAATAATATTACAAATGTAGCATTCGTTAATTGCTGTATAAAAATTTTTTGTTTACCAGTATGACTATAAGTGTTTTACTTTATAAGGGCTTAAAATTGAGGAAAAGTGGTTGCTATGCACAGAGGACTATTAGAATATCATGTAGACACATTTCTTTGAATAAAAAGAGTATATATTTTAACAGGATAAACATAACCAGAGAAATATTACACTAGAAATGTATAACCCATATGTCCTTGAATTTATAAAAATAAAAATGATCAGTAATGTGATACATTTTTATTACAAAATATCAAATAATACCCAGAATAAGCATTGATTTCACAGATACAATTACAAACAAATGATAAATTAAATACTTTAAATCAACTTTTTTCTTTTGCCAAGAAAATTTTTAATCTAATACAAATTAAATTGGATGAAATATAATATAAAAAAATCATAACTACTTACCATTGTGAAGTTACAAATACTTGTCCTACTTGGTATAAAGAAAAGTATAATGACCACAAGCCCGCAAACAATGGAAAGGTACAAAATTTTTGAGACACAAAACTGAAACAAAAATAAATAAAAGAATCATATAAAAACAAGTTTGTTACAAGAAATCAAAGTCTTACCCAGTAAAAGCTAAAAATGAACCAAGTAGTGCCAAGACATCTAGAGCATATTGCGTATTGAGACCTAAATAAGGAGTAAACCATAGGAGAGTTGGTTGATAATGTACTTTTGCAGACCATGATTTGTATTTATTATTTTCTAGTACAGCCTTTGCGGGTAAAATTCCATTATCACCATATAATCCTAAAGGCATATAAATTAACATAAGTAACTGCTAAATTGTAAGACTGAATTCTTACCTGGTATTTGAATGTAAAACGATATAAACGCAAACATATAAACAACACACATAGCTCTTAAAAAAAGATTACGAGTATATCGTACTGAAGCCATATTTTTCGATAATTGTTCAAATAACACTAGAAAATCTTTACTTTAACTCCTGTGCTTTTTTAACAATATTTTTAAACACAACGCTTTACCAATTATCAACAATTGTATAAAATCACTAATTAAAGTTACTTAAAAATCATGAACAAAACTATGTGCGTAAAGACCGCAACGAATATTTTATAATTCTGATTTATATATTTTTATTTTTCTATTGCCTACTTCGAGACACCAAACGCAGCGCAAAGTTAAGCTACGAGCTAAGCTAAATTAATAAGAAATGAAATGGCCATGGCTTGGCTAAACTGCATTTACAAGCAGCAGAAGAACAGTCAAAACGAACTTTACCGAATATGCTCGAGTCATAATAATGTCTCCTCTTCCTAATTCATCTGACAGGAAAAAAGAGAGTAGTCAAAACTAACGTGTACGTACGCTGCGCGATAAACGATAATGCATCAATTTCGATATTTTCACTTGACAAAAACCATTCAAATACAAAACCCTAGCATACCTAATATATGACAAATCGGATGCGCACTACTTTCCTGCGCAGCATAAGAATAAGCACAACTTAGTGCCGCTCTTATGGCTCGCTCCGTACATTAACCAAAACATACTTGTTAAGAGAAATTAGCAAAAAAACCCGAAGCAGTACTGTAACGGCAACTAGCCAATCGCCAACATCATTAAATAAAGACTAAGAGAAAAGATATTTTTAATTTAGCGCCTCACCGTTATAAATTAAACTTGTCTATTTAATTCTATTATCTCTATGGTTGCAAAACCCTTTAAGTAAGACTATTGTGAGTATTTCCAATAAAATTCGTTTTAAGTACTCCTCTGCGTTTATAGACTATCTGTATTCATAGATAAATTTGTATTCGACATAGAAATACATTAATGGACGTGCCTTAGTTTAATGGCCGTATGTCGTAATAATTTCTTGGCTCGAAAAGTGAGGGAGATGGCGTATGGTTTCGGACTAGTGCTATCTCTTTCATGACACGCTTACGCACTATCGTAAGAGAGATGGATATTGTCCGAAACTTCATTCCATCTCTTTCTTTTGTTGTACCACAATTCTGACCGCTAAGGCATGTCCATTAGTAAACGTCGATGGATGGCATTAGATGCTAGTTATCTATGGACGCTAGTGTTTTTTTTATATTTTTGTTGTACTTAGATGTTTGTGTGCCCTAACCTCAATATTTTATAAATGTTTTATAACATGTTTATAACTGCATCAAGTTGTTCAGGGTTGCTAAAATGAAAATAAACTACTATAAACAATTGATTTTAAAAGCATTTTATGAATATTAAAGTATTATAAGCTTAGAAAACGTAATTATGACAAAACGAAAACCAATAATCATAAGCGATTCAGACTCTGATAATGGATTACAAAAATTTAGTACAAAAAATAAACGACGTAAAAAGGGTGGAGTGCATAAATCAAACTCTTCAAATAGTGATGTGGAATTAATTGAAATTGATGCACCCCTTAAGAGTAAAGGATCTGGGAAAGTGGTAGCAGGTACAGGTTCCAATAAAAGAGAAAATGATAATCCTTTACAAAATGACAAAATAAAAAGTAAAAGAAACACTAGAAGTAGAGTACGTAACACAAACAGAGACAGTGAAAAATCCAATCAAGTGGATGTAGTTATGGACAGTGTTAAAGAAGTTAAGGATGCTGACAGAGATGGTACGAATCAACCAGATGGTTTTGTATATTTGACAATATTATTTTTTATAATATGACTAATTTGCAACCTAACATCAGCATGTAAATACCTATATAAATAATTTCAAGTAAATTGCGTATTATAAGTAAATCTGAAAACTACAAGTTAATCTATATAGTTAAACAGATAAATTTAACTTTTTAGGAACTCAACAGGCCAATCAAGCTTCACAACCAACTCAAACTAATCCATCCATAGAAACAGCAGAAGAAATTAATAAAGATTCAGAGATTCAAACTGCTGAATGTATAGAAATGACAATTGAACAAACAGATGCCAATCTATCCTTAGAAACAATTGAAGATGAAGATTCAGAAATTAATGAAACAACCATTCGACATATAGAAAAAATAATTGAACAAATGGATGCTGATCAGTCCTTGGAAATAATTGAAAAAGGTGATAAAGATCCAGCATTTAATCAACAAACTGTTCAGTGTTTAAAAAAAACAACTGAGCAAACAGATGCAGACCCACCTTTAGAAACAATTGAAGAACGTGATAAAGTTCCAGCAATTAATCAACAAATGGTTCAGTGCATAGAAAAGACAACTGTACAAACAGATGTAGATCCACCCTTGGAAACAATTGAAGAAGCTGATAAAGATTCAGAAATGAATGAACAAACTATTGAACATATAGACAAAATAATTGAACAATTGGATGGTGATCCCGGCTTGGAAACAATTGAAGAAGTTGATAAACTTCCAAAACCAAATCAACAAACTGTTCAGTGCATAGAAAAAACAACTGAACTAGCAAATGCAGACCCATCCTTGGAAACAATTGAAGAAGTTGATAAAGATTTAGAACAAAATCATCAAACAATTCAGCACATAGAAAATACAATTAAACAAATGGATGCTTGTGTATGTACTGGAGAATTAGAAGAACTACTGAAGAAAAAGCAAATTTACCCATGGACTCAATTATATCAAATACAAGAAAATAAAAATCATAATACAGATGATGGTAAATGTTTTATGATTTAAATAACATTTTTCTGCTGGATTTTTTTTATTCTAATTTAATTTAACAATTTTAGAGATTTAATGCAGAAAATTTAAATTGTTCTAATGTTACAGAGTCAGAAAAAGAAGATGAAAATGGAAAAAGGGATCAATGCATTCAAACCATCCCAGTTGCAAAGCAGTGGCAACATGTTATAAATGCAATGGAAGATCCCAGTGGTGTAATAAGGTATACAGATAACCTACTCATAATAAAAGAGAGACAACCAAAGGGACGTTTTCATTATCTAATTTTACCAATTGAGAATATGCGAAATCTCAATGAGTTGAAAATGGAACATATGCCATTGCTTAAAAACATGGAAGAAGCAGCCAAAGAAGTTATTTCAACTCCCGAACACTTAGAAGAGACATTCAGTTTTGGTTTTATAGCAAAACCTACAATGGTTGTTTTAAGGAATCAAAAATTTTTGTGGTTGCACATGCATGTCATAAGCAAAACCCCTAATTTTGCATATATTACCAAAAAGCAGATGTGGAACACATTTCACTCGAAAATGTTTATGACCATACAAGGTTTGTTATATCATAGAAAGTATTTATTACATTTCTGAATAAAATTAAGAAATTAACAGTGTGTGTGTGTGTGTGTTTGACTTTGGTTTGATTCTGGATTGATACGGTTTACACTTTTCCCCCATTTGCAATCATGAGTTACGTAGAATTTATAGTCGTTATTGTCCCTGTTTTTTTTTTTTTATTTCAGAAGTTAAACATTTCCTAGCAAATTCTGGAAGTGTCTCATTGCCGACCCCCGAAGACTGCAATTTTTATTTACAGGACGATGTAACTTGTAATCAGTGTGATTTTAGCTCAACGAAATTGCCTAAACTCATACAGCATATAAAAGAAGTGCATTTACAGAAAGGAAAAGGAAAAATCAAGAAAAAAAGAAAATAGAGACGTAATCATTTGTATTAAAGAGCCTTCAGAATCTTTTTTTAATTTTTTGAGATAAATTATTGTAGTCCATAATTGATTGTTTTTAATGAAAGTGAAGTGAAGTGATAATTTGATAAAAGAAATATAGTTTTCTATGTTTACCTTTATATATATTTTTTGTAATTTTATGCTTCAGTTCAAAGTTTTAAAAACAAAGTCTATTTTGTAAGAAAAATGTTCGAAGAATTGGATTGAATCTGTTTTGTTGTATCTAGTATTAATACCAACATTATATTCTATTATTATAATGCATTTTCTAATGTCTATTTATTTATCAGCCAAAAATTCGAGTTCCATGTACTCGGCTGTATGAAGTTGGCAAACGAAAATTTGTTTTGCTATATTTTATCGAACTTACTCAATTGCTGGCGGTTTGTTGATGCAATAAACATTTTTATTGATAATTAGTTGTGTACTAATTAACAAATGAAATGTTGAGCGTGAAGTTGACAAGTTTTTTTTTTCAAATTTCTTTATATACCTTATTACTTTTATTGATCGGTTATTTATAAAAAAAGGTAAAAGTCAATCTATAATTATTTGGCGTCTGCGTAAATGCTACGAATTTGTCCGACTGGTGTTGATTTATCCAGTGCGCAAGCGTATAAAAATAGACATCGACTTTTCGCAAAATCCTGCTAGGTTAGCTGTTTTAATATCATGCACACTTTATATTCTGCTGTGCAGGTCAATCAGAAACACCATTAAATAAACATAGAAAGAGAAAAGAAGGTCTCATTATTTTTCGTCTCATCACCATGTACATAGCTGCTCTAATCTCTGTTTAGATGAATAGAATATGTAATGTACTTTTTGGGCGACCCCTAGTCAGGTGTACATATAGAGAACATGATGGACTTTTAATGAGAAATATTTTTTTATTAAAGGTACTTACAATTATAATGAAACTTGTAAAATTAAAAGGATTTTTTTGATCTCCAGTTAAAGATTTCATCTACATCAACATCTTCATCGCTGGTCTCCTCATTCGCGTCCACAAGCATGCTATTATTTACCTGAGGTATAACTTCCGTTTTCTTCTTTTCCAGTGTTAATACACTAAAAATATAAACAAATATGTTACTTAACCGATCTTGCCTATTTAGGGAAATAGACAATAATTTAGAAAAAGGTATATAAAGCGCAAACATTTTTTTATCAGTTTTAAAACAAACATACACAATTTTTGTGAATTTAATTAATTTAATTAACCCTATGCGAGCATAGAAGTGACTTCTTTTTATTGAAGGCCACTCGACCCTGCGCTATCCTCTGTTTTATATTTCTACTGTTCCTTCTATCCTGAGTTATCTGACTTATTAGATATCGAAAATCAACTACTTCTAATTTTTCGCTTCCTATCTTTATAACATCAATTATTTGCCGGACTAGTTACGTGAACATTAGACCCACTTTCCATATACACGCTGATCGCCACAAAATTTAGAATAGGAGCGTGACATCCTTTAATACGACCGATTGTGCTGATTGCAAAGCAGTGTTTGAGAACGGCATCAAGGTGCAATAAACAGTAGAAGACTCCTCTAAGGATGCTTTGAATAAAAGCATCGTAGTAAGACTCATATAGTACCTGTGGGCGGTACTATATACTTCGGTATTAATTAATAATGAACACTGCATGTCTGCATTGCAAATGAATAATAATAAGATAAAGTTGCATACTTCATTTGCTCAATTTTAAAAATAGATAATCAAAAATGAAGGATATTTTTCATTTCTAACAATACTAGAAAATATATAGAACTAAAATTAGAAAACACAGGCATTACACTTACCGAGACCAATTTCTCATTTGCTCCTCAATTTCATCTATCTGTCTTTCAGTTGTTGCTTCATCCTGATCATCAGCAATTATTGCAGCACTTTCCATATCTGCTTCTCTTATTTCTCTTTGAAACCTTTCCCACTCTTCTTCAACCGGGTCTTTATATTCAACATTTCTGGCCTGTAACGGCAAATGAATAATATCGTTTTATTATATTGATAAAAATAAAGCATTTATGCTTATAACTTGTTTTATACCTTGGCATCTTGTTTTGGATCATCAAAGAATCCCTCTGGTAAGGTCACATCTACATGTTCTATATCCTTTGTACTATCTGCCTCAGTTTTTACTGATCTGTCATTTTCATTACTAACAGACTTACTACTTTCAGCACTATTTTCATAAAAATCACTAGGTAATTGTCCACTTTTTATTTCTACACTTAGTTCTTGCACAGGCATTTGTATTGAGGAAGCATTCTTCAATATACCCTTAAGCTTTTTTTCTGGAACCTCAGGGGTTTGAGGAGTAGCTGTACGTTTCACAGGTGTGGTAAAATTCTTAGTCTTCTCTTTCAATTGTTTGGCCTTTTCAATATTTAATCGATGTTGCTTACAATTTATGTGTACCGTCCATACTGCTTCCGACTTTACAATAGATTGACAAAGAATGCAAGTCAATTGTCCAGCATCGTTGTATGTATATATATGTTAAGGAGTATATTTGTACATTAACAACTAACAAGTAAACAGAAATTGTAATAAGTACCTAATCTTTAAAAAAGGATATTTTGCTAAAGGCGATTCAATCTTCTTTGTTGTCTTCTGTATTTTCTCCTTGTGCTCGTTCATAAAACGTCGCAACTCATTTTGAGATAATTTTCGTTTACTGTTCTTAAAGGTAGCAGACATGATTCGATTTATAAAAGTTACTGTTGGTCATTATATTTTAAATAGGTTTGTAGCATGTTTGTAATATTTATAAAATAAACAAATAAACACTGTAAATACACATAACCTATGCACATAACCTTAAACGCATTAACACTATTTAATATTAGAGTAGTGGCTCCTGTATTGTCTAACCGTGTTTTTATTTTTTTTAAAAGAACGATCCCACCGCATTTATTATTTTTTAATCTAGACAGAATTAATAAAACAACTCGCTCAACGAGTCCCCAAAACGTATGATTTCAATATTAAAAAAAACTATTTTTTATATTTTATTTATAATTTATGGTTTTCTGTTTTTTTCCCTTTACTTATGCTATAAGACATTGTTTCTTTTCAAATTTTATGATTCCATGATTTTAGTTCAACAATAAGTACCCTATCAGGCTAGGTAAATAATGTGGGTGTGATAGGTATAATAGTTGTACCCACATGAAAAATTTCAGGTGGGCATTTTACCCACAATGTCATGTCACAAGATCGGCTGAATAACATTTTTGCGTTGCGCAATTGAGCGAGGTTTGTGTAATTAATATTGTGATGTAATATAATAATTTTTTCAACGGTACATTGTTTTATCCTTTTTATCCCCACTTCTCCAGACTGCGTAAGGTCATCTATCCACCTGGCCTGAATATATTCTGCCGTAGTAGTGTAGCAGCAACAGCCTTAAAAATAATAAACGCGGTCGGACTGATATTTTGAAAAATTTTAAAATACGGTCCGCGTTGATGGAAACGCTCCCTGTATATTAGTTCAATGGACATAATAAACGTTTGCTTTATCTATGACCATCGTTTAAATAATCTTACCGACTATTCCTCCCGCCAATTTTCTTCTTTCTACTAGCTCAGTTTAAAAATTTTGAAACATATACCTTCCCTTTCATTAAAAATTGCATTTAGTGCTCTCATCGAAAAAGAAATTAGAGTGTATCACTTTATTTTAATA